AGGTGGGGTCAAACGGGGTGTACCGTCTGAACGCCTCCATTAATCGCTCGAGAAAAACAGAAGGCGGTTCAGTGGGCCCCTGTATGACCTCTCTTACCTTAGCCAAATTCGTGGGGCGCCGAGCTGCCCCTCTGAGGCCGGCCACTAGTGTCTGGCGGTAGACCTTCAGGTGCTCCCTACCTTCTGCCGTGTTGAAGTCCCAGTCCGGCCTGGCCAGAGGAAAGGCCGCATCCACCAAATGAGGGAGTAGAGTCGGCCGGCCGTCGGGGCCAGGGGCGTTCTTCCGGGCCTCCAAGAGGATCCGCTCCCTTTCCTCTGTAGTAAAGAGAGTCTGAAGAAGCTGTTGACAATCGTCCCAAGTGGGCTGGTGAGAGAACATAAGGGACTCAACCAGCCCCGTTAGACGCTGGGGATCCTCTGAAAAGGGAGGGTGGTTAGTTTTCCAGTTATAGAGGTCTGCCGAGGAGAAGGGCCAGTATTGGAGTGGCTGGAGCGGAGCCGTTTCATTATCGTCTCCGCGGGGGGGTGGAGGCCCGTATGGTCGGAGAGGGCAGGCTACGGTCGAATCTGGAGACGCGGGATGTCTCCTCTGACTCCGGGTTCCCTGGGCCGGTCCCTCTGTTGGAGGGGCGGGAGGAGGTGCTGAAGGCTCCGGTCTCCCCGGCGGCTCTGGCTGGAGAGGAGAGGGGTAAGGGGGTGGAGAGTCCAAGAGGAGAAGATCGGTTTGAGAATCTGCCAGGGGACGTTTCGTCTGATCTGCGGCGGGAGGGGCCTGGGCCACGAGAACCCGGGAGGTTCCGGATGGCAGCCAGGGTTTCAGCCAAGAGGGAGGGTTCTGGACCAGGTCCTGCCAGACGACAATATACGGCTGCTGGTCTGGATGGCCCGCCGGGCCTGATTGGAACACCTTATTCTTTACTGCAAAAATAATAGACAGGTCAAAAGTCCCGTCCGCTGGCCATCCCACGCCTAGGGCTGGCCAGTCGGATGAACAGAAAGTCTGCCAAGGACCCTTCTTGACACTGACGGAAAGATTGAGTCCCCGACTCCGGACGTCCGTCCAGTGTGCTACTGTAAGAGAAAGAGGGGTGCTGCTTCCGTGGCCCATGTTACCTGGATGGGAGAAGAGGAGTAAAAGACAAAAACAAAGAACAAACAATGACGCGACAAGACACCGGATCCACAAGAATTTACCCAGATACAGAACGGCCGCTGAGGGATGATATCCCTCCCTAATGCTAGTCCGGCCGGACACGCGAGTGCCCGTTGCCGGACAGCCAGAACCTGAAGTGACCAAGACCTCTTGGTCACCGCCCGATCCTGGGGCGTCCCCCAGGGTGACAGTTTTTCTGGCCGAAGCCCCTACGACCAGAGGAGCCGACTCCTTACGGAGCCGACACCCTGTCTTCCTGAAAAACCGAAACTAAGAACGAACAAAGGACAAGACAAACACTGAATGACTCCGGAGTCTGCTTACCTCCAAGACCGATCCCAGCGCTTGAAGGGGGTCGCCTAATCCCGGACGAGCCCCCAAATGTTGGGCCCTAAGACCCCCGGAGAGTCCAGCAGAGGAGGCGACGACCCCAAGTCAAACGCAGAGACCGAGGCTTGATGCAAGAGCAAGAGGATTTTTATTACAAGCGCAGCGCAGGGGCTCTCAGGCAGGCAGGCAACAACACAAAGGAAGTGCTGCTGACTGGAGCCCCGAGCAATTGCAGAACACGGGTTTATAAAGGCAAAAACCACACGCAGGTGGCCGGAAAACAGGGAACTGGGTTACCAGTTAACTCATAACTCATCTTTTACAGGGACAGGTCTTTGTTATTAGTTGACTCATTTCCTAAGGGGCCAGGGTGGTCTGGTATGCGCAGGCCGATCCCGAGGAGTGATAAGATAACTATGCTATGACCAGATCAGGGCGCCAGAGCTTTACGGGAAAGGTCAGGAGGGGGAAGTTCTCTTTAATCTTTACATTAACCAGAGCTTACTGGAAAAGCTGGTCCAGGGGGAAGGGGGGGGGTTTTCAGCGGCCTTACATAACCGCTCGCTGCTGCTTCCTGCGCGTGTCCTGCCGCGGCGGCAGCCCGGATTCAAATCTGTTAATAAAGAAACTCCCTCTCCAGATTGGCAAGGGAGAGGATCTGTTTCACCAAATTCTTGGTTTGCCGTGGTTTCCTGTCTCGCGGGTACTTTCTCCTTATAACAGTGTCCATCATTTTAGTATTTATCCAATCCCAGAATTCCCCCGCCCCCGCCCTTTGCTTTCTACCCCTTCTCTAATCTATCATCAATGGATTTCATGTAACCTACCTATGTCCCCTCCTTTGATTGCAATGTATAAAAATAGATGAAAACTTGACATTCTCTGGAGCATTATCTCAATCTGTTGAGGTTCTGCTTCCCAGCAATTGTCGACAGTTTGGCTCAAATAAACTTATAAAAATTCTTTACAGGTTTTAATGTTATTACATTAACACTTGTATGTTCCCTGGCCAGGGCTATTTTCATTTTTCTAATGCCACAAATCTCTTTGACAGTTTGGTGGAGCCAATAGACACCTTCTTAGAACGATGCTTTGAAATGCTTAAAATAAAATATATAAGATTACAAAGGAAGTTAATTCAATGTGAAAGTTATCCAAAAAAATTTAATAAATTATTTCTTACACAATAAGTAAGATCTAGTAGCAGATCTAACAACTGTGATTTTGAAACTGATGGAAATAAATGATAGTTCTAGTTTATCTTCATTAACTATAATAATAAAAGCATATTATGCTAATTAGACCGGATGTCCTTCTGGACGACCTTCCTGAGAATCATGAACCTCCTGGTTCATGGATCAATGCTCAACCACTGAGTCACACCAGCCAGGAGAGCTATCTAGTCTTTTGGGGAATCTCTCCCCAGCCAGACCAGATAGATAATAAAGTTCTTTGTTTGACAGAGCTGGAAATATCAGAAGAGAAGACTATGCAAAGCCCAGCCTTTGATTAAGCTCACTTTCAGGTGTGCCCTCCCTTTGCAAGTCTCCTTCTTAGTGACTTCTCAGGGCTGCTATAATGATGGATTTTTGATACAAGAATGTTGGAAGCATGTAGATAATTTTTATAAGACCTTATTTGAGACAAACAACTGACATGCTGGAAAGCAAGATCTCAAGTGCTCTGGAGAATGACAGTTTTGCAGTTCTTTTTAAGCATTTGGGATTAAGGGGAGGGACTGTAAGATTACAAGAAGGTAGGAGAAAGCCTGGAGGGAAATCTCTGTGATTGGATTATAGGATAGGTTACAAAATCATGTGTCCCTTAAGGGTGGTTGCCTTAAGGTCTGGAAAAAAAGATTACTTTTGGCATTTCAAAGGTGTGTTAACCTAGCTGCGCAAGAACAATGGGCAGGGCTTGCTTAAGGAAAAGATAAACTTTTTATAGACCTGGGGGATGACTGTCCACAATGACCTGCTCAGTTAGGAATTTATGATCAGATCGCGCTTTGAGATTACTTTCAGTCACTGAATATGTCAGATTTACTACATAGCTCCCTTTCCATTCACAAATCTTTTTTTTTTTTTAATCTTTATTGCTGAAAGTATTAGATATGTCTCCCTGACCTCTTTTAGTTCCCCCACCCCCCACACCACCCCTTCACCACCCTATTGCAAAAATGCATACCAGTTCTTTGGTTGATCTCTTCCCACACACCTCCCCTCCCCCACCTTCCCTCTGAGATTCCACAATCTGTTGGATGCTTCTGTCTCTATTTTGTTCATCAGTTTATTTTGTTCATTAGATTCCACATATGAGTAAGATCATGTGATACTTGTGACACATCTCAGTTGTATGTTAGGATTGGTGAAAAGATCAAACACTTTTGGGGAATCAGACAGGCTTTATTTATCTAAAGGAGACAGGAGAAAGTCAGTGCAAACACAGACAAGGATGCACTGCAGAGAGGTCATCCATTTCATCCCAAATAGACTTGAAGCTTCCTGGGCATTAATCTTGCTGGGCATTAAACCTTCCTGAAGCTGTAAAGGAGCGGGGTTTCTATCAGACTTTCTGGCAACAAAACTCCCTCTCCCTTGGGTTCATTGCTGCTTGCTGACCCTTGTGGCTTAGGTTCTGGAAAACCTCCTATCTGATCTGTTCTAGGTTGTGTATTAATTTATATAACTATCTCCATGATCCTATTAGGTAAGTATTAGTGTTATGCTTGTTTTACAGATGGGAAAACTGGGCAGAGACAGGTTAAACGGTTTTCCCCAAGGTTGTATGTCTAGTGAGTAAGCAGAGCCAAGAATTGAACCTCAAGGGCAAAGGAATATCCTGCTCTCCCTAGGGCAAGAACTATACACCTCTGCCACGTCTCATTTTTAAGTCACTCAGACAGGATCCCCTTGTTTATTTCCTCCTATAAAAACCCTCCTATAAAAAAAGGCCTTAAAAAAAGAGGAAAATAAAAATAAAGATCTATTTCCCCTTTTTTTTTTTTTGAGAAGGTTCCTCTGCATTAATGGATGTTCTCCCTACTGCAATAGGCTAAAAACAAACAACACAAACCCTTAGGCTTCACTTGGTGCACTTTCTTTCACATGCTTGATAGAAAGTTTGCCGACCTCATAACTGACTCACTGGTCCTGAGACCAGCAGCAACAGTAGATCTAATGAATTGGTGATTCCACAGATGGTGCTTGTTATAGTAATCACTATGGTACTTAATGTTAGGACCTTAGAATGTAAGACTTAAAGCATGTAACCCTGTGGGGACCGTTATAGTAATTATTATAGTATCTAATGTTAGATATAGGAATACTGTGTGAGACCCAAGAATGCACCCTTGTAACCCAACTAGTACTTGTAAACCATCTATCTGATGGGAACGCCCAAAGCCTGTACACACCCATAGATTAACAGACCCCGGGGATCCACACATGGCAGCCGCTGATAACACACACACCAACGAAGACCACGTCTACAGAGGGGTATATAAGCAGACGGTCTGATCGACCCAGCAGCGCACAGCTCTCCTGTCGACAGAACGTGAGGACCTGTGTGTGCTCACAGCTCGGTTTCCAACAGGAGACTCTGCCCAATTAACTGTCGATCGCCGAAAGAGCCAGCAGCCAACGGGCCGTCTACCCCTTTGTATGTATCAGCCAGCGAGCATCGCCGGGTGGCTCCTTCCCAGCGTCTGAGACCCATCAGGAACTGGTAAATAAACCCCCTGTGTGGTTGCATCTAACCTGTTTGTCTGTGGGTAATTTCTCCGGCTCGGCTCAGATCTCGGTGCTGAGTCTGTGAAAGTGTCTGACCAGAAAGTATTGGCACAAGCCTCAAGCGGATGGTCCAGATCACCTGTGCATGTCCCACTTAGGAGCAGCACCTGAAGCTATTTGGGGTACTTAGGCTTTACTTGGTGCACTTTCTTTCATATGCTTGATAGAAAGTTTGCCGACCTCATAACTGACTCACTGGTCCTGAGATCAGCAGCAACAGACCTTATGAGTTGGTGATTCCACAGGTGGTGTTCTTTGATCCCCTTTTAACCAACAAGCCGCCACGGAGGATTCTGATTCACATTAAAAGGAGCGAACCCTGGCTGGAGACGTTTACACCACTGGAAGCGCGGCTACGCTTTGCAAACTTCCGCGTGATCCACTGGAGGGCCGGGCTGGCGGCGGCGGCGGCGTAGCCGGGCGGCACTAGGACCGCGGAGGCGCCGGCCTCGCAGCGGCCTTGGTTCCCTTTGGGGCGGAGCCCAGCTGTTCCGGGAGCCCCGGGCCGTGCTGGACCCGCCCCTGGAGGCGGGCCGAGTTGACTTAAAAACTCCGGCACCCGGGAGGCCGGCTCGCCTCTCCTCTTACCCCGGCTGGGCGCCGTGCTGGTTGGTAAGTGTGGGACCGCGTCGCTCGCTGTCCCTCGCTCACCTTCCCGGGTCGCCGGCCGGGCAGTGGGCCCCGGGAGCTCAGGTGACCGCGGGCAGGAGCGGGGCGCGCGCGCGTCCGCCGAGCGCTTTTGTTCCGAGGCCGTGACGGAGCCGCGCGGGCTGAGGGTGCTGCTGGGGCGGCTCCCGGTTGGGAGGTTCCCGCCGCCCGGGCCCGGTCGTCCGCCCGCCCGCCCGCTGACCTGCTCGCGGTGCCCGCGCGGCTGGGGCCAGGCCCGCCTCGCGGGAGCCCGAGGGCGCCGCCTCGCCGTTGGAGGCCGCCGGGAGCGCCCGCGAAGACGCGTTTGGTTCAACTGCAGGGAGGTTGCCTAGGTGGGGAGGTGGAAGTGCAGCTTCTGTTTTTAATTATTTCCTGTCGGCTGGGGTGAAAAAAAAAAATCTTTGTTTTGCGCTTCGTATCTCTGGACCGTTCCCTTCCGCCCGCCCCCATTATTAAGCGGTTCCTCCCGAAACAAACGACCCACTGGAACGCCAAGTGGCCCTCGGACGCCCCGATGCCCGGGATGTTTTCGCTCCTCGCAGTCGTTGGCTCCTGGAGGCGTTTCCAAGTGCACAAATGCACACTGAGCTCGCTCGGGGGGGTGTGGAGGGACGCGGGGTCCCTCGGCACCGGCCCGCAGGGTCCCGAGCTCCGCAGCCAGCTTTCGGGGAGTCGCTCCAGTGAGCATTTATTTGTAATAACTTGCAGCGTCTGCCTGCACTGTAAAGAGAACAGGGGATGCTGCAGGAGCTTAGAGCGCATTTTTAAATATACTTTATTGATTTTTTACAGAGAGGAAGGGAGAGGGATACCGAGTGTTAGAAACATCGATGAGAGAAACATTGAGCAGCTGCCTCCTGCACACCCCCACTGGGGATGTGCCCGCAACCAAGGTACATGCCCTTGACCGGAATCGAACCTGGGACTCTTCAGTCCACAGGCCGACGCTCTAGCCACTGAGCCAAACCGGTTAGGGCTAGAGTGCATTTTAATCGGTCGGGTTGCAGACCTTAATGTGAGCTGTAAATTTAAATTTTATTCAGTATTAACATGCACGAGTGTTTAGGTTTCAGTTACTTATGTATTTTTCCCCCCTTGTACTGTTGGATTCTTTTATTAATCTAATTAGAGAAAATGGTTAAGGTAAAGAACTTCTTTTTAAGTTTCACTCGAGGATAACATTTTTATTGATTTTTGGAGAGAGTGAGACATCGATGTGTATGTAACATCCTTTGGTTGCCTCGCATACCCCAACCGGGGATGGAACCCGTAACCTCTGTCTGTGCCTTGACCAGGAATGAACCCCGAGCCTTTGGTGTAATGGAATGGGGTACACACCAACTAACTGAGCCACTCGGCCAAAGTACTTTTGCTTGGGAATGAAAGGACAGTAGTAGACCTGGAAGAAGGGTACATGAATTCTAACTTGAAAAGTGAGCGACAATTTAGGCCAGACCTAGGTGTTTGTTTTTTTTGTTTTGTGTGTGTGTTTAAAAAATGCATTTTTAGCCCTGGCCAGGTGGCTCAGTTTGTTGGAGTATCATCCCATACACAAAGTTTTGGGTTTGATCCCTGGTTGGGGCACATATGGGAGGAAAAAAAATAAAAAATGCATTTTTATTGATTTTTCAGAGAGGGAGAGATTCAAAAACACCAGTGGTGAGAATCAGTGATTGGTTGTACTGATCCTGGTTCGTGGGTCTATGCTGAACCACTGAGCCACACCTGTGGGGCCTGACCTAGTATTTGTTTCTTTGCACACTTCAAAATTCAAGAAAATTAATATGCTTTTCGTGCAACTTTAACAGCTTTGCACAGCAGTGTCATCAAGGGAGCAGATGGGCATGTATTTTTATTGTAAATTTAATATAAATAAAGGTGATATATAAATTTTATATTGAGTAATTACATAGTAGTTTCTTGCTGTCCCAGGATCAAAAAAGTAAACATTGTGGAGGGACACTGACATGTTTGGAGAGAAATGGGAACACATACAATGAAAGAGTAACATTGAAAGGTAAGTATTTTACTTCTAAGTAGCCTAATATATCTGCTGTGGAACAAAATTATTAAATGAATCTGCATTGGCTAAAAATTAAACTAGTACACAATGGATTTGATGACTAAACTTAGAAATAATGTGGTTAGCTTAGCATGGAGTGAGTTATTCATCTTTGCAAGATACGGAAGAGATTCTTTTTCCCAATATATTTCTATTGATTTCAGAGAGGAAGGGAGAGGGAGAAGGGAGATAGATAGAAACATCAATGATAAGCCTGCCTCCTGCACGCCCCCTATTGGGGATCCAACCTGCAACCTAGGCATGTGCCTTGACCTCCTGGTTCATAGGTCCCTGCCCAGCCTCTTCAAATTTTTATCTCTTCTTATTCATCTTCAAGAAGACTAACATTTCATGTAATACTGCTTGGTGGTGATAAACTACTTTAGCTTTTTCTTGATTGTGAAGCTCCTTATCTGACATGAAATTCTAAGTGATAGCTTTCCTGGGTATAGTAATCTTGCTTCTAGGTCCTTGCTATTCATCACTGAATGGTTCTTGCCACTCCCCTCTGACCTGAAAGTTTTTGTTGAGAAATCAGCTGACAGTCAGTTGTACATAACTAATTCCCTAGTAGGTAACTAAGCTCCCTTGCTATTTTTTTTTTAAATATATTTTTATTGATTTCAAAGAGGAAGGGAGAGGGAGAGAGAGATAGCACATCAATGATGATGAGAGAATCGTTGATTGACTGCCTCCTGCATGCCCCCTCTTGGGAATTGAGCCTGCAACCCAGGTATGTGACCTTGACCAGAATTGAACCTGGGACCCTTGAAATCCAAAGGCTGGTGCTCTATCCATTGATCCAATCTTGCCAGGTCACCCTTGCTGTTTTTTTAAGATTCCTTCTTTGTATTAAACCTTTGGCATTTTAATTTTGATGTGCTGCTCTGTTTCTTATTTGGTTGCTTTTATTTATTATTTCTGGCACATGGTGTTGAAGACCTCACAACTTTGGGTGAGCCATTCCGTGAGATACCAACCAATAAAGCCAAAGTGATCATCTCCTGGGCTTTCATCTTATAAAATTCAAGAGTGATGATTAAGCCCTGACCGGTTTGGCTCAGTGGATAGAGCGTCGGCCTGCGGACTCAAGGGTCCCTGGTTCGATTCCGGTCAAGGGCACATCCCCAGTAGGAGGTGTGCAGGAGGTAGCTGATAGATGCTTCTCTCTCATCGATGTTTCTAACTATCTCTCTCCCTCTCTGTAAAAAATCAATAAAATATATATATATATATATATATATATATATATATATATATATATATATATATATATAAAAGTGATTAAGACCACTGTGTTTGCAATTACACTGCTGAGCTTCAGATCTTGGCTCTATTACTTTTACTCTCAGTAAAAGTAACCTTGGGAAGATATTTAACTTCTTTGTCTCAGTTATCTGTAAAATGAGGATAACAGTAGTAACTACCTCTTGGATTGTTGTCATAATACACACGCACTTGGAACAGCTCCTGACATGGTAATTGCTTAATAAATTTTAGCTGTTGCCATGTTAGAGGAAATACATTTTATGGCCTAAGACAATATACTAGATATTATACAAAATTCAGTTTGTTAATTTAAGCTCTACATGAACTTACCCAGCTTTGTATGAAGTTTTCACTATCGATCCTATTGTAGGTTCTGTTTTTATAAGGAAGTGCCAGACACAACGCTGCAGGCCTTTTTGAAATCATGAATGCCTCCATTAAATTCTCCACCCAGGGCTAATTTGCTCCAAAACTGTACTTTTCTATATTTTCTATATTACTTCCCTGAAGTGCTGGAATCTCCCATATCCTTTATATTACGGTTTTGGACACAATAGTAACATAAATATCTAGAGAATTGATCTTACCTGTTTTAAAAGGCTTTTATAAACGTGAATTTCAAGACTTGTTTACCTAGGTTTTTTTGCCAAGTCCCTCATCCCCCACTGGAGGCATACTGTGTGAAAGAGACATAGAAAACATTCAATATGAGATAGAGACAATAATTTACCAACCTTGTTTATAGAAATGCAAGTAAAAATTTACTTTATGCTTGGCCTGTGTGGCTCAGTGGTTGAGTCATGCGTTTGGTTTCCGGTCAGGGCACATGTCCAGGTTGTTGGCTTGATCCACAGTGGGAGGTGTGCAGGAGGCACCCTATCAAGAATTCTCATTGATGTTTCTATCCTCTCCCTCTTCCTTCCTCTCTCAGAAATCAATAAAAAACACATTACAAAAGTTTTAAAACATTTACTTTGTAATAAGCCTTGTAAAGAAAGACGAAATCATGTGGACCTTGAAGTATTCTAAATGCTTTGTTGGGAGGCAGCTATGTAGCTGTTTATTCTTAATATCCTAAGTGTCCTTGTAAATTGAAAAGCAAGTGAGACATTTGTTAATAGTTAATATTGATTGCAGATTTAATGAGAGTTACTATGGTTCTTAAATTACAAGACTTTATTTGTAAATAAAGTTTTTAACTTGTGATTAAAGTTGCAAACTGTTATAAGGAATTATGGTACTGTTAAATTTTAAGAGAGAAATCATAAATAGATTACTGTATGTTTTTTTTAAGCCCCCAAAGAAATGTATTGGATCACATAATTTAAAGATTATGTAACTTGACCTTCAGGTATGGCCTCATCCTGCATCTCTGAATTGAGCTTTGCTTCAGCATTGACTTCGTTCTCAGGTACAGTTCCCTTCAGTGTGTGGCCCCAGTATCTCTAGGCATTTATCTGTCAATGAGTGTCCAAACATAGAAAAATTTTATAAGTTTATTTGAGGCTAACTGAGGACATGCATGGAAGCAAGACCTCAACAGACTAAGAAAATGCTGTGGAGAATGTTAATTATGCAGTTGTTTTTATGCATTTGTAAGAAAAAAGGATTACATGAAATTAATTGGCTGTCCATTACAGAGGCTGGAGAAAGCAAGGAGGGGATCACTGGATAAAAAATAAAATGGAGAGATACATACATTGCTGGGTACAGGATGTTAACATTTTACAATAAATAGGGATGATATATAGGTGATGAGATCTTGTGCTCCCTCCAGGTTAGTTCCCCTGGTAGGGGACTGGCAAAATTACTCTGGCATTTCAAAGGTGTTTTGCCCTAGGTGCACAAGAACAGTGGACAGCGCTTACTTAAGGGGAAGATACATCTTTTACTGAGGAAGTCTTAGGCCTGGGGTAACTACCCACCATGGCCTGCCCAGTTAGAAATTTTTTATTTTATTTTTTAAATTTATCTTTTTTTTTTTTTAAATATATTTTATTGATTTTTTTACAGAGAGGAAGGGAGAGAGATAGAGAGTTAGAAACATCGATGAGAGAGAAACATCGATCAGCCGCCTCCTGCACATCTCCTACTGGGGATGTGCCCGCAACCCAGGTACATGCCCTTGACTAGAATCGAACCTAGGACCTTTCAGTCCGCAGGCCGACGCTCTATCCACTGAGCCAAACCGGTTTCGGCTAAATTTATCTTTATTGTTGAAAGTATTCTGTCCTCTTCCCCCGCACCTTCCACCCCCCCTTCTCCTCAGGTCTTCATGAAACTATTGTCTGTCCATGGGCTATCCATATACTAGATAGGAGTTTGATGAGATTATCCTGTGAGGTTATGTTGGTCACTAGCTTGTTAGGTTTACTTCATCGACCTGCTTTTGTTCACATATCCAATCAATTTCAACTTGCATTGATCATGCCCTTTGTCTGCTTGCTCCACCAAAAATTCAAATTCCATTGGCTCTCATTGGGGCATGTATATGTCTGTTGCTAGTAACAGGAAAATGCTGTATGTATTTTTGTTTATGTAAAGTAGCTTAGAGATAGAATTCATATACCACGTTCATATCCAATTAACCCATTTACAGTGTACAGTGGTTTTAAGTATATTCACATATATGAATATCATATAGATGAAATCATGTGGTCTTTTGTTCTCTTCTCTGACCTAGAACAGTATTTTCAAGGTTTATCCATGTTGACATATATATGTACATCATTCCTTTTTATTGCTAAAGAATGGTACATTGTGTAGATATGCCAAATTTTGTTTTTATCCTTTCATGTTAATAGACATTGTGTTGTTTTTACGTTGTGGCTACTATGAGTAATGCTGCTGTGAGTATTAATGTACAAGTGTTAGTATAGACATTTTTTGGCCTTGGGTATGTATACCTAGGAGTGGAATTGCTCTGTCACATAGTAACATTTGGAAGTTTTTATTTTCAAATAAATAAAAATTTATATGTGTGGAGAGCAGCTATTAAGGTGTTCTTGTGGCAAAGCCACATACAAGTCCCTTCTTGGAGGGCAAAGTCCTCCCAGCACAATTACAGCCAAAGGCTATGGTTGTACGGAAGCTTGACCTTATAGACCTAGTAGACCTAGGCAGCTTAGGGATGTGGGCTGTGGGAGGTAGAGCAAGTGCTGCCAAAACAAAGCTTGATAGAGAGTTCAGAGAATTGCAATAACAGGAAAGAAGCAGATTTGAAAAGAGAACATTGTAAATATCTTGACCACTCCCTTGTTTTCATTTGTGTGATCGGACTATAAAATAATTCTGTTTTTAGGCGGGGTCACTGTGTCCTCATCCAGGTACAGTGATCCACCTGGCCCCAGCTATATTCTCTTGTCTGTTTTCATAATCCTTCACCTCCCCTTCTCAAGTTCACCATTGGCCATGCTGGACTCGGTTCAATATGAAAGTTTTTAGGTTTTATTTTAAAATCTTCCCTGAGGGCATTTTTTCCATTTGACCTTTTGAGAAACTGCCAGATTATTATTCAAAGGAGGTGAGCCACTTATATTCTCAGTAGCAAAGCATGAGTTCCATCCAGTTTGCCCGCATCCATATCAACACTTGTGTGTTGTTGTTTTTTTGGTTTTTTTAAAATATATATTTTATTAATTTTTTTACAGAGAGGAAGGGAGAGGGATAGAGAGTTAGAAACATCGATCAGCTGCCTCCTGCACACTCCCTACTGGGGATGTGCCTGCAACCAAGGTACATGCCCTTGACTGGAATCGAACCTGGGACCCTTGAGTCCGCAGGCTGACGCTCTATCCACTGAGCCAAACCAGTTAGGGCAACACTTGTGTTTTTAATTATAGCCATCATAGTGAGCAAGAAGTGGTGTACCCCATTGTGAATTTTTATTGCACTTCCTTGATGATTAATGACTATCATCTTATTTAGCTATTTGTGTATCTGTTTTGGAAGAAGTGGCTATCCAAAACCTTTATAGACTTTATGTTCTTTAAAAAATATGTTTTTATTGATTTCAGAGAGGGAGGGAGAGGGAGAAATAGAAACATCAATGATGAGAATCATTTATTGGCTGCCTTCTGCATGCCCCTACTGAGGATCAAGCTCCAAACCTGGGCATGTGCCCTCACCTTGAGTCGAACTGTGACCTCTTGTTTCATGGGTTCACGGACATGACCTCCTGGTTCATAGTTTGAAGATCCACACCTGCGGGGCAAAATTTTATGGACTTTAAATTTGAGTTGTCTTTGTGTTGTTGAATTGTAAGAATTTGTATATTCTTTTTTTTTTTTTTTTTTTAATATTTTTATTGATTTTTTACGGAGAGGAAGGGAGAGGGATAGAGAGTTAGAAACATCGATGAGAGAGAAACATTGATCAGCTGCCTCCTGCAAACCCCCTATTGGGGATGTGCCCACAACCAAGGTACATGCCCTTGACCGGAATCAAACCTGGGACCCTTCAGTCCCCAGTCTGACACTCTGTCCACTGAGCCAAACCGGTTAGGGCAAGAATTTGTATATTCTGAATTCTAGTTTCTTACTGGTGACCATAAATGTGAAGTTTTTGTTTGGTTTCTATTTCATTGATTAATGTCTCTTCTATTTCAGTACCACATGGTCTTATTTACTGTAGTTTTGTGTTATTAAAATTAAGCCAAATAAATTTGAAGATCTGATTGCCTTTGTTGAACGATCCCATCTAGTAAATACAGAGGTACTGCAGAAGTAGTAGAAATTTAATATAGTATTACATGTCAACATAATTGATAAATTAAATAAAAATAGGTGGAAATGGAAGGATTTTATAGGAAACTGGTTGGGGCAAGAAAAAATTTTTTGAAAAAAATCTTTATTGACAGTAATACATAAGTCCCCCTCTTTCTTCCACTTACCCCTCTAGGCTCCCCCCTCACCCCCCCCCCCCCCCCCCAATCAGGCCCTCATCTTGGGGCATGAAATTATTAACAAAAGAAGGAAGGATTGTTTCAGACAAGGTCACCTACCTGACTTGGGTATTTTCAGACAGATTATCTCACTAATTTGTAATTATTTCCCCCAGAGGCTGAAACTTCAATGAAGACTTGATTTGCTGTCTTGGGGGCAAGTGGCTTAACATTAGCCTTTTGATTCTTTTTGACAATACTAATCAGTTTTTAAGTTGAGAAGTATGAGTCCTCCAATTTTATTTTTCAAATTGAATGTTAGGATCAGGTTTTTAATTTCTGCAAAGAAATCTGGGATTTTTAGTAAGGATTGCATAATTTAGAGAGTATTGCTACCTTAACAGTATTAAATCCTCCAATCTATGAATGTGGATTTTTCTCTCCAGTTATTAGCTCTTTGATTTCTTTTAGTAAAGTTTTATAATATTCAGAGTATAACGTTTTTACTTTAAGTTTGTTTGAAAGTTTTTATTTTTAAATTCTCCCCTGAGGATATTTTTTTTCCCCATTGATTTCTAGAGAGAGTAGAAGAGGAGGGAGGGGGAAGAGACAGAGAGAGACATTGTAAGAAAGATACAGATTTGTTGTCTCCCACATATGACAGGTCGGGCAAGGATCTAGCCTGGGGAACCTGCACCTGAGGTATGTGCCCTTGACTGGGAATTGAACCCTAGACCCTTGGGTCCACAGTCTGATGCTCCAACCATTGAGCCATACCAGTCAGGGGAAAAGTTTTTTATTTTTTAATTTAAATCTTTAAAGAAAAGAAAAAAGTAGTGTAAACAAGAAAGTAGCACAAAAATACAGAGGTGCATAAAAGACTGGTGATTGCTGCTGAGAAACTAAAGCCAGAGGATGTGGATTTGGGGAACACACACTCATTCACAAAGAGAGTGGCCTGAAGGGCAAAGGACTGCACTCTTTAGAACTGGGGCCACACCCCAAACACCAATGTGAGGGGAAGCTATGATGAACTCCAGCTGCTTCTCCCAAGAGAGTCTGTTCAATGAGAGTGAGCCTGGGATAAGTGCATTAATACGATAAGTGACTGGAGAGCACCCAAGTCTTCGCATCGCTCCAGACCTCCCTGAGGCCTAGTTCACAGCCTGGCCTCCCTTTGCTGTGCAGTTATTGAACATTGCTGCTTAATTGCCCTGGCCTGGAATCCTGATTTCCTCCATTATGTTGTCACCATTCTATTGCCAACTCAAGGATGCCAGTGCCTTTTGGCCCCATTTGTGGTACTCTCTCTCAGGACCCACTCTACTAGTTTGGCTAAAAAAACAAAACGAAACCTCTCAGCTCTATTCGACTCCTGATCAGTCGAGTTCTCCCTGTTTTCCTAAATGAATATCTCAGAGCTCTTCATTTCCTTTTCTGATTGATACTCTTCAGTTCTTCCAGTTCCTTCATTTGGGATTTGGCAGTTGTCTCAGAACTTGTCAAGCAGGACACCTACGTCCACCTGC